TATATAAAAAATTTTTTTTTTTGCATAAGCAGGACCTTCATAATTGTTGATAACAATAATAATGTAAAATATACTTTGTTGGAAAGAGAAACACTCTTTTATTTTCTCATTAACATTGTGTGCTGTCATATAGTGTTCTTTCTCGGATTTTTTAATAAGTGTTAATGATACTCCAGAAGACAAATCCATCTTCATCTAAACAGTTATGAACATTGACTCTCACTGGCTTCCAGTTTATGAATATATTCCGCCTCAGCCCTCCCCAGAAATAATGCATGAATATGGATGGGCTGTTGTGCCTGAGTCTATTCAGTGCATTGGACTACCTCCAACGTTGGCATAAAACCACCAACGGCAGAGGAGACCACACCGTCCAGTCCAAAGGATAATGATGGGGAGCGATGACTCAAAAGGGCTTCTGATCACCGAGAAGGGTCTGTCTGGCATGTCTGCAGTGAGTGACATGTTGCGCTCGTCCTAAACGCTCATGCGTCTGTACTGACTGGCCAATATGTTGAGCCGACTGGTGAGTGGCAGCGACCGGAGTCTTGACAGGGAATTCAACTGTACGGTGCGACTGCTGGACGACTCGGAATACACTTGTACGGTTCAGGTCAGTATTAACATGTTTTCATCATCACGAGCGGGTGATCCCCGTCACCGACACACGTGTCTCAATGCTCGCGCTGCTGATGCTGCGCATTCAAGCGTGAATATCCGCGAGCATCTGGACACTGCACAAGGGCTGCAATGCGTAATGGCTAATTAACGTGTTACGAAATTTCCTTTGGCTCACGCGATGAGTGAATCAGCGCTAGTTTCGGTGACCCGTCTGTTGCCTTTAGAGAGCAGCGGGTCACCTGTCACGTAGTGCCTGCCGCCAGCCCGGGAGACCTGAGTCACATTCAGCGGGAAGAGACACTAGTGGAAAGGTTTTATACATTAAATTGCCTCTCGGGGCGAACTATCCACGATAACAACTGCTGAAAGATTGTAGTAGCCTACGTGCAATACTGTAATGGTGATACAGTAGCTGTTGTGCTTCTTATTTGACCACAGATACTACCAAGCCACATTATTATGCAATTCAAAAGCTATGTTTCTAGACACATTATCAGACTCACTCTTTATGCATTCAGAGATGCTTTGTTTCTACTGTTTGCCTAAAACAGCCCAAAAGCGTGGATGAAAGATTAATTGATTTGTAAAACTGTTGATTAGAATGTCATAAATGACTTGTATTGAGTTGCATGAGTATACATTACTGTTTCATTATATGAACAATTAAAAGGAATGTTTGGGACATACAGCAAAACCATTGGCTGAGTTGCCAAGAAGAACAGTGGTTCTGTTTTTTGTCCACACAGTGGAGCTTGAACAGGAAGAGCATGAGCAATGAAAATGTCTCAGGTGCTATATCAGTGTTAGGCATGTTTTTATTAATGAGTTCACTCTTGGGCCAAATATTCACAGATGTTCAGGATCAAAAATAGTTGCTGAAAAATTGCTGAAGCCTATGTGCAATATACTGTGGTGTTGAAATAGTACCTGCTCTGGCAAAAAAAGTAAAAATCTATTAAATCTTCAGTTAATGTGGATATTTTGAAGTTCATTTTAAACAAGACACAACTGACATGCATTTTGGGCTAAATATTGACAAGTTATATCTTATCTTATCTTACTGAGTAAAATATGGACAAAGCCAGCGATTGGGTTGTTTTCAACCAACAGTTGGGTTAAATGTTTAACCCAACCGTCTAGGGTTACAACCTTCTAGGCAGTAACCCAATGGCTGGCTTTGTCCATATTTTACCCAGCGCTGGGTTGTATTTAACCCAGCATTTTTTTAGAGTGTACAATTAACAGGATCAGCCTTTCTAGAATGCAACTCCCTTGCATCTCTACAACATACATAAAATACAAATGTAGACTGTAGCAGATAATATTTGTGTATAATTTACAATGTTCAGGAAAAAAAACAAACA